CCTAGTAAGTAGTATTTCAAATATATACCCTTAAAATGATTCTTCAATTCTATATTAATTAATAGGAGCATTTGCTAGTCGTGATGCAAGATTAATTAATATGTAACTAACATTATACTAATTTGTATATATTTGTTCCAATCAGTAGAAAAATAATTTTAAAATTCATGAAAAATATTATATGAAATAGACTATTAACTTAAAATAGTTAAAAAGTCATCAAAATCTAATAATTAATTACTAAAATCCAAAATTCAAACCCAACAACTACTACTAATTACATTCTACATTTGGTCTACAATGTTCGAATGTGATATATTTACAGAGATTACCACCCCTTTATAAGTTCTCTACTTTCTGATGGCTTTCGTGTTCTTGTAGTAAGGGCATTTTGGTCTATAGCAGAGATGGCTCAAGCCTATTGAGGGCCTAGACAAAAAAAAAAAATGTAGTTAGACGATGGTTTGGTGCCTTACATTGGCCATTGCCATTCTATTATTGTCCCCATTCTACACTAACATGTGCAACTTCTTGTGCAACTTAGATTATAAAGTTAGGTGCTTTCAGAATCAACAGTATGGTTGAAAGGCTATAGCTATCCCAGGAGACCAGAGAGATTATTTTTTGTCTTGTTTTAACAAATCCTGAGTGAAAGGACAACCATGTTCTTTAATCATCATATTGACCAGATTATTCTCTATTGTTTCTATGGAGTTCCAAAGGTTTGCACTAGAAAGATGTGAGAGTATTTAGGCTATTGATTAATCACACTTTCTAATCCTAATTTCTTATGTGTTGGCCACAGATTTCTCAACTGAGGCTGACTTTTAAAGAAATTATTTTCAACTATAGAAAACAACCACAGTGTAAACCTCAAGCTTTTCGTAGTGTGTTTGTTGATTGGTCATCAGCACACCGTCATGGGGTATGTGTTCACCTTTGATGACTTAGGAACAATCTTTGATTACTTATGGTGTCTAGGAATTCTTGAAGTTTTACATTTTCTCTGCTTCATTTTCATGTAAATGTCTTCCCAGAATAATATGCTGCAGTATTAACCAAAGGCAAGAATAGGGATAAAGATATGTTAGATGCCCAAACTGTCGAGCAATATAAGATAGCCCCAAATTCTAATTAAAAATAAATAAAAATGCTCCAAATAAAAAAAAATTAATTTACAAATTCTGTAATACCCAGGATTCAAGACTTCAAAACTGGAGCATCAAAAGATACAATGTGCACCAAATTGTTTGCTTATTTTAGCATAGGTAAGAAACACAGGCACATTTGGTGATATAGTTCAACAATCGAAAATCGGGAATCCAAAATCCACAATCCGAAATTTCAACCAAACCCATTCACAAAATCAGAAAATGCCCTAACAAAATTGTTTACGAAATAAACAGAAAATGAAAGAAAAAAAACATGTCAAAACCCTACAAAAATCGTGAGAGAAAGAGATAGAAGACACAGCGAGAAAACAAACCCAGATCGACAGAGAGGAAGAGAGACGATAGACACATACCTATAATCAGTGGTGGGGCCGATTTGCAGTGGTTGTGGTAGCGAGCGCCGGTGGCCTGTGATGGTGATGATCGGCGGTGGTGAGTGACGGGTTTGGTATCGAATGCTATGTTGGTGTGTGAGACAAAACGGAACAAAAAAGTGTGTCTGTGTAATATATATACTGGGCGGCAAAATTAATGAGTTTCCCTCTAAAAAAATTTCGAAGCTTTAACGACTAAATGATTATTTGTTGCCAAATATCCTTAATAGCAACTAAAAATTGGTCGCCAAGAGCTGTTTCTTTGGCTACTAAATTCAAATTTTCATCGGCAATATTGAATAAACAACGACTAACTTAGCTGTGGTCGTCAAAAATTCATCAAAAATATGCCCATTTTTGGGCGACAAAAATGTTTTGTCGCAAAATGTTATTATACAGTGACACAATCAAATTTTAGTAGCGTAAAATGGTAACAAACAACGACTAAAACTAAGTTTGGTCGCCAATAAGGCTATATGGCGACTAAAATAGTTTAGTAGGTAAAAAGATTCAATCAATGTTGACTAAATCAGGTTTTTAGTCGCCCAATCTGGTGTTTTTGGTGACTAAAATTGTTTTGGTCGCCAATTTTAGTCGCCAAATATGCATTTTGTTGTAGTGTGTAATTGCTGTATGGGAAAAAAAAATCTCTCTTGTAAGGGCTGGTTTGGCAAGTTTAGAAAAAGTCAAAAAGTCAAAAAATTACCAAAAAAGTTAAAAAGTTATCACTATTCACAAAAAAATATATATATGAAAAATTAATATACAAATATACATATACAAATCAACTTTTTGCCCATCAACCGTATTGACTTCAAACCCACTGAGTCAAAGAAAAAAAAAATTACATGTTTACATTCACTTGGTTGGATGGTAAAGTTGGGCCGTGGGTGTCCACTATGGATCCCGTTTTGATAATCCGAACCATTTAATATGTAAAAATCGTCTAGTACTATATGCTTATAAAAAATCACGTCTATCGGATATCGTTAACTACGTGATCAAATCAATTTTGTATAAAAAACGGATGGTGTTATAGTTAATAGTTGACAAAAAAAACTAACACGATCAAATAGCTATCGATATCTAATCAACGTGATTTTTTACAAACACATAGTATTCGACGAGTTTTACACATTGAACGGTTCCGATTAAAAAAGGGATCTGTGGTGGCCCCCACGGGCTAAACAACATCTTCCAATCAAAACCCAAAAAGGAGGCAATATTTTTCCATGTATTCACCCCGCCGGTTGCACTGCATTCCGTGCGCCTACTACATTATTTTCTCCTACACACTTATTTATATAATTTTTTAATATACATTTTTTCATAAATAGTCAAAAAATTAACCTAAACATCCATATTTTTTTAATTTTTTAATCTAAAAATATAAAAAGTATATTTATTTACAACACTCCAAAAAAAACTCCTAAATGTATCATTGCATAATATTAAAAAATATAGGATTTACTTTTAATTTCCAAGATTCTTTAATGATTAATTTTTCCATGTTCTATCCCTTACCCACTATATATGTTAGGGTTGGTTAACCACTTGCAAAATTAATGGAGTAACAAAATGATCAATGTTGTAGTAGGTCAGCTGCTGATGTCATATGATTGTCAAAGTTAATCATCACTAATGATGTGGCAGTGAGTCCCACCATGAATGGATTTGATGTTTTGGCCTTGGTGTTGTATTTTTTTTCTTTTTTTATTGAGTATCATGTCATTAGTGGTCTTTTTAGAGCTTCAAAATTAGTGATCTCTATCATTGTTGAAAAAAAAAAATGTTATGTGGTGTTAGCATTATGCAGTAATGATTTAAAATTTTAAATTCATCACTACTAGTAAGATGGAAATTGAAAAAAAAAAAAAAAAAAAAAAAAAAAAAAAAAAAAAAAAAAAAAAAAAGGACAACAACAACAAGGCACATTATTTATTGTGGCAGTGGGCATCATTAGAGCCACCACTAATTAGTGGTTTCAAGCATTTTTATAGCATTATATTTATAGACTTTAGTCTTGGAATAGTCAATTGTCGGTCATATTTAACTCAATCTATAAGAAGAAACTTACCATCGAAGTAGCAATAGAAGAGTTCATGAACGATTAGAATACAGTGCGAGGTCTCAAAATAAACCAGCTAAAAATCTAACCATTTTTTACCCTCTCAAAATTCAAATTTGTAAAGAAAACTGGGTTCTCTACGAGGCCACCACCCCTGTGGTCTAGTTGTGTTTTGTTTGGGTCTATGAATTTCACCTTTTGATCTATGGTTAAAGATAATATTACTCTAGTTCCACAATATGATTAGTCATGTTTTGTTTGTCCATGAATTTCACCTTTTGGTCTATGGTTAAAGATAACATTACTCTAGTTCCACAATATGATTAGTGTACACACTCTCAATGCACCCAAAAAATATTTAGTGCTCTTTGAAATTTTTGTTCTTTTTTAAAACATAAAAAATGAGATACCTAGTATGTCCATAAATGAGACCGATGAGCTATGCACATCTTTAAATATGATTTTTGGAAGCGATGTAGCGCTCGCAACTTCAATTAAAAGATATCATTGATTTGAAGGCTCACAATTCAATCAAGATTTGTCAAACTATTATCCAGTCCAAATTCATATCATGGGCTAGACTAGGTCGAATAAGACTCGAATAGATTTGGACTTAGAGGTTAAAATTCAAACCTTAGTTCGTGTGAGATGAACCTACTTGCTAACTTGGCAAAACATAGAAAAAATATATATAAAAATGTCTAAAAAACTAACTTTTTAAAAGTACAATAATTGTACTACCAAAAAAAGTTGGATTCCCCAAAAGGGACCATTATTTTGGGACGGAGGGAGTAAAAGATATCATTGATTTGAAGGCTCACAATTCAATCAAGATTTGTCGAACTATTATCCAGTCCAAATTCATATCATGGCCTAGACTAGGCCGAATAAGACTCGAATAAACTTGGACTTAGAGGTTAAAATTCAAACCTTAGTTCGTGTGAGATGAACCTACTTGCTAACTTGGCAAAACATAGAAAAAATATATATAAAAATGTGTAAAATACATCCATCCCCTTTTAGATCGAGCTTATTTGAGCAAGACTGGAACCTAAGTTTGTTAATCCTTACTCGACTCAAAATGATAATAGAAAACCTGACAATGAGGATCAATTTCGTAATCTAACCCGACCCGACCCATCCACCCAGTCCAGCCCAACCATGTCAACCTTTAATTCTCAGTTACACAAACGTCTTGTAAAAAATGTGCTTTAATTTTCATCACAACCATCCCCTGGTAGATCAACAGTAACTGATACAGTCGTAAATCAACAGTACAATCAATGCAGGCGTAACTTATAACATGGTCCTACTAACACCGAATCCTAACTCAGGTCGATTGATGAACGCGTAAAAAAACGGTGTAAGGCACTCCGCAGACCTTTCTTCCTCCTTCAGCAACCTCTTCCCCACTACTTTCACTTTTTTTTGGCTGTCAAAAAAACCAATTAAATTTTACTTTAATTGAATAAATTATATATATACCCTTTTTTTTCTTATCCCAGCTCTGCACCCTCAGATCTGAAGGCATCGCATCAAGTTCTCTGGTAAACACTCTTACTCTCTCCTCTCTATCTCTCTCTAGGCTTGATTTCTATTGAATTTGGACTCATGTGTGCTAGAGTTTGAGTGACTTTTAGGGTTTTGGAATTTGATGCTCGGTGGTGGTGGTTGAGGGATTCGATTTTGTGTTTTGGAATAGTTGAAAAAAATGGATGCTTCATCGAGTCAACCGGAGTTTGATTACTTGTTCAAGTTGTTGTTGATTGGGGACTCTGGAGTTGGGAAGAGTAGTCTTCTTTTGAGTTTCACTTCCGATACCTTTGAAGATCTCTCTCCTACCATTGGTAAAGCTCAATGCTCAAATCGTCTTATCATTTTAATATTTTTTATCAAAGTTTGTTTCTTTTTTGATCACAATTACATGTATTGATTATATTCAGAGATGAACTCTTGCAATCATATCCAAAATTCCTAGTGTGTATGCAAATTGCAATGCCTGAGTTCATGAAATTTTAAAAAATATTTGAATTTGGGTTATGTTATCTCAAGATGATCTATTATTTCTTACTCTGTAGAGTGTAGTATCATGTGTTTGAAGTAATTGTGTCAGTTGATGATCATTTTTATGTCGGTCATAAATTGATTAGTTTTGTGCTAAGTACATGTGATGGGTGCGGGCGGGTATGTGTTTTAGAGTTCTATTCATCTAATTCTCATGTTCCGGGACATGAGGGATACAACAAATTATTCCTATTTGTTGTTGTTAATATTAATTTTTGATGGTAAAATGGTGTTTATGTGGTGACAAAGTATTTCATGAGTAGTATGGGACTTTTATGCTTTGTTATATGGTGAACTCCAATTACTAGAAATATTATTACAAGATGAATATCCAAATGCACATGTCAGACACACATCTCATGCCCTTGCACTAAAGTTGAGTATTCGACATGGGTAGTCTGCACATTTAGAAGAGTCTATGTAAAAATATGTGCATGGCTTTTTTCTTATTTTCTTTACTTGATTTATTAATTTTTTTCATTTTTTGTAGGGGTTGATTTTAAAGTAAAATATGTTACCACTGGGGGGAAAAAGTTGAAGCTTGCGATTTGGGACACAGGTAATTCTTCTCATGATTCTTCCCCTCCCTCATCCCCCACAAAGAAAGAAAAAAAGAAAAAAAACCCCTAAAAAGAAGGATAAGAAATAAAACATGCTATATTCATTCGCAAATGCATGCTTGTAGTTTCTTTTCAGGATTTCATTCATAGGATTTCCTTTGACATCATATCTATCTTTGAATTATTATAGTACTTGTTTTGGGCTTTTGTTTTTATATGAATTTCCTTATCAGTTTGTACAACTAATGGTGCCTGAATCAATATGATCCAGCTTTTTGGCTTTGAATTTTATTTATTTACTTAATTATTTTTAAATTGAACACATGAAAATATATCGTGCCTCCAATAAACAAATGAAATTATTGAAAGTATTGGATACATGTTAAACTAACTGCAAGTGTTGTACCGTCGGCATTTGCTCAGATAACTAATAGTGCAGGCTCTATTGCATGTGAGTTCACAGGCATGACAAGATAATATAGCCTAATTTGTAAAAGGACAGGGAAAAAAAATATCACTAACATATGGCCTATGGGACATGATTTTTGGAATTAGGAATTGCAGGTCAGTGGTTGGAAAGAAGGAAAGATGTAAAAAGAGAAAACCAAGAATTATGTTCATTGTATAATTTGGCATGTTTTCTTATTTTAAATGACTAATCCAGTTTACTTATTAAAAAAACCCTTTTCCTATCATAATCGCATGCCCTTTATAATTGATGCCTGGAACTGTAGCAAGAATGCATAATGCGTGCAGGTCATGTCTATTTTGCAAATTACTATTGTCATTGTTTCTATGATATGATCCCTTGAGCCTAACTTGTAAGAAGATTGTGAAGCATGAGGGAAATTTACATTGAGATTATTTATATGTACAATCTCCTATCTCATAATCTATGAAACACTGGTACTCCAAAACTAGTGCCGTATGAGTACCGGGTGCGGGTACGCGTACCGGGTACGCTGAACATGTTGGGTACAACAAATACATTTGGGTACGGCACTGGTACGCAAGTTTTTTTTTTTTTTTTTTTTTTGCTAGAATTTATTATAACATTTATTATTCTTCTTTCAATTTTGAAAATATTAAGTAATTTATTTCCAACACCTTTTACCCGTGAGTTGTGGTTTTACTCTCTTTTGCATCCTGTTTTAAACAATCAAAAAAGAAAAAAAAATAATTATATAACTTTTTAGACAAGTTGTTTTCTTTTTAATTTTAATATTGAAACTTTGATTTGTATATTGGATGTTTAGCTGTAAATTTAAAAAAAAAAAATTAAAAAAAAAATTAATGTACCCCAGCCGTACTCGAACCCGAACCATACTTTTTTAAGAATTTGTTGTATCGGCACACCCGTATTGTTCCCATGTCCGTATTCGCACCTGTACTTCATAGCTCATAATAGTTGGTTGGTCCTCATAGGATGCACTACAGGCTACAGCTATACATGATTAAGAAAGAGATCAGATTATTTGATGTTTAGATTAGAAAAGCTTAACAAAATAGAAACATTAAATTCAATTCGGGAGTTTGAATCCTTCTTGTAAAGATATTTATTGAGATTCCTAATATAGCAAAGTATCTAGGACTATGGTGATGAGAAGTAAATACATTCTTTAGAATACATTAGGTTAGACTCTAGAGTGCTGTTTTGAGCTTTCTCTGTCTCAATGACAAGAGACTTCAAATAGTGGTCTTTGAATACCACATCTGCTCAACCTTATATGATGAGCATTGCTTGTCCTTGGAATTGTTTGTATAAGGTTAATAATAAATTTCACATTTTTTTGTTGCTACTCCAGTAAATTGGGTCAGCTAGGAATTGGAAGACTTTAAAAGGAAATATTGTTCTTTTCTTTTCTTGGTTAGCAGGGACAATTTTAACCATCAAAGCAGAGCCTATGGCTCTGTTGGAAAGCCTTAAGGGATTTGACTATTATGGAGTTTCATGGTTGTTTGATTGAAGGCGATATTGTGGGTTAGGTGGAAAAGTGAACTCTTGGTCTCTGCTCCTATGCATAATTTGTAGACAGATATCGTAAAAATGTTCACAAACCCTTACTGTGGTCATGTCATGACAATATATTCCTTAAGGGTAGAGGTTGATAGTTTTGACCAAGAGAGGAAGCTATTCTCAAGTTGTGTAATGGCTATTTCTACCCTCCATCAGGACTTTGAAGAGGGTGTGGGGGTGGATACTGCTTTTATTGTACTTATTGTTTCATATATCTCTCATATATTTTTTTAAGCCTGTTTTCTCCGAGTAAGCATTTGTCATCCTTCTTCCTTATGTACCCATTCCCTCCGGAGGGTCAGAAAAAGAAAACATAGAGATTATGTATCTGATTATTATTTATGTTATTATAAGCCGCTAAAAACTTAGAAGATTAATTTGACAGAAAAAGAACTGTTTTGTTAGGATGGGAAAGTTTCTTCCTTGCTTTGGTTCCCTCTTTATGGTTAATGGCTCAATGCAAGAGTTGGTTTTTGGCAGTGTTTGATACTCTGCATTTAACTGTTAAAAAGTTTGCCCTGGTGAAATTCCCTTGACTTTGGGAAAAGTTTTCTTATTTCTCATTATGCAGCTGGACAGGAAAGATTCAGAACACTAACTAGTTCATATTATAGAGGAGCTCAAGGAATAATAATGGGTATGTTGTCTCCATTTCTTCATCTTTTGTCATCTTTATTCCTTTTATTTATTTATTTATTTTATCAATTTAATTTTAATATGTGCCATCAGCTTTAATTGCTTCTGATGAAACCCCTGAAGTTGTTTGCTCATGGACATTCGCTTATTGTTATATAGTCGCAACCTTTTGTGTTCTTGAAGTTGATATAGCTATCATAAAGCTAGAATTTTGTGAGAACAACTTTTGGACATGGGATTGTTATGAGACCCATATGAACTAAATAGTGAGTTAGGTTGAGTATAAGATTTTGGACATGGGATGCATATTTAGTTTAGTTCATCAGAATGTGTAGGTTTGTGTGTGTCACTTTAGGTTTGATTTGCACATGCTATGTAAGCGATTCCAAATTTGATTAATATGCAATCTGAACTCTTTCGGATTGCCAACTTCTTCTCTATGATATTGGTTGGCCTTGCAATGTTCTATTTTGTAATGTTTCTTAAATTTATCCATCTGTTTATACATTTCTTCTTGGAGTTATATCCCTAGACATGCAACTGTTAAAAGAAGTTGAGACTAAACTTTTTTGTTGAGTTGAGTTCTATGATTTATTTTGCGAAATTTAATGCTTGCACATTTCAGAGTTTTCTATATTTGAGTGGACCCATGTTAAGAGAGATCAAGAAGTTGTCTATTTCTTCGGTACATTTGTAGGCCTCAGTCTCCTAGTGTTGAAATCCTACCCACATGGTTCTCTTGAACTTTTTTACAATGTCACCTCTTTGAGGATCTATAGTGTAGCTTTCAATTGGCATAAATCTCTCCACTGGTAGTTACAAGTTTCTTTGTTCCAAGTGACTTCCATTTGTCAGAATTCTCAGCATTGGTTAAAGTCTGTTGTTCTTTTGTATTTTTGTTTAACATAATCAAACTGTTAATTTACACATTTTTATTGGTATACCGCTCCTGAAATATTTTTCCCTACTAAATAATGGTATAAGATTTATGTTACTTGATCTCTACAAGACTTGTTTTTAAAAAAGATAAAATAAAATAAAATCTTTTATGTGAAATGCTAGAGACTCACAATTTAAGTCCCTACAATTCACCAACAATGACATGGCCAAGGCCAAGGGAGTTGGGCTTTACATGGTTGAGTTTGTAACAAATCAAAAGTTGACACATAACCTACCATGTCATTGTGGGTCTCAACCTTTTTCCTTCTTTACCTAGAAGCTGTCTCATGATCCCAAAGACCATGCACTCTTCAAATATTCTGTTAACCAAATTGTGTTTGGGATTGGAACAGTTTATGATGTAACCCGACGAGATACATTTACGGATCTATCTGATGTGTGGGCTAAAGAAATTGATCTGTATTCAACAAATCAAGATTGCATCAAGATGCTTGTTGGCAACAAGGTTGATAAGGTAAAATGTGCAAAAAAATGCATTGAGAATTCCCTTTTCTTACCTAAGTGCTATAAGAAGTCAATTCCAATAGTTTGGTGCTACAGTATCAATATAGTGCCTGAGAACCAGGTTCAAATTTTCTGTGTCCCACAAATTTATCTGATGTTGCATTACTGGATAGAATGATAGAGTTTGTTTGTGGCTTTAAAGTCTCTTAATTATTTCTTTTCCAGGAAAATGAAAGGGTTGTCACCAAAAAAGAAGGAATTGACTTTGCTAGGGAGTATGGATGCCTTTACATTGAATGTAGTGCAAAAACTCGGGTCAATGTGGAGCAATGCTTTGAGGAACTTGTTATGAAGGTATGCATAATGTCAGAATCTTTTCTCCCATGTTAGTTGGAATCTTTGAATTCTTTGTTTTTGAAGAAGCCTAAAATCATTATATGCATAATGTTAGAATCTTTTCTCCCATGCTAGTTGGAATCTTTGGATTCTTTGTTTTTGAAGAAGCCTAAAATCATTGTATAGTTAATGGATTACAAACTAAGACTTACTAACCAACACAATTTTTATAGTGGACACCACAGATTGCAAACTGTGACATACCAACTGCCATATGAATTGATTGTGGACACAATTATAAGTCCCCATTTAACATTCACCCTTTTTATCTCTCTCTCTCTCTCTCTCTCTCTCTTCACACTGGCCTCTTAGCACCCACCACTCCCAAGTTAGAGTGTTGTTAACCCACACAAATCATGTTTACCAAACAACCACCTAGAACCTATATCTCTTGATAGAATGAGTGCAACGCAACCTTAACTTCTCCATATGTTACTGTAACAATTATTTTTTCATTTTTACAATGAAATAGAATGAGGGAAAGCCATTTGGCAACGTACATTAAACAATATGACAAGGGGTTCTAGCAATTAGGCCTCTTCACCGAAAATTTATAACCTGTTACCCTGGTCATATGTATAATAAGGCATTTTTCATGATTAGATATAATTTCTCCAATAATTAATTAACATGGTGATAATCATGACTACGATGTTACTCTGATAATTTTGTTTTGATGCAGATTTTGGAAACACCAAGTCTCTTGGCTGAAGGCTCATCGTTGAGCGTTAAAAGGAACATTTTCAAACAAAAACCTCCGGTGTCTGATGCCTCGACTAGTGGGTGTTGCTGAAAGTGACGGGTTCAAACAAAAACTTCTGTAGTCTTGACGCCTCACCTAGTGGGTGTTGCTGAAGGTGACAGGTTCTCCCTCCTTTTCAGCAACTTCCTTGCGTTGGATGCATTCTTTAGTTCTCTTGTTATGTTTGATCCATAAAAACCTCATATGTAAACCAGTTTGTGGGGAAAAGTTGTATATTTGGTCTCAAATGTTAAGCTTTATTTTCATATGCTTTTCTTTAATCAGCCAATTTAATTTCCCAGAATTTGTACGTTTCAGTTTTCAATTAATTTTTAGTCAGGACTACAAATCACCAGTGGCCTAGTCCTTTCCCCAATCTCTACTGCCACTTGTCACCCCTCTCCACGACCTCCACTACTACCCACCCCTAAATCCCTTTCGTACCCTTCCCTCTACCGCTACTTGCAACCCCCACTCCATCTTCCCCACCGCCTCTCTTCCCTCCTCCACCCTCTCTTGCAAAAGCCCAAAATGTGAGTGAAATTTTGTTTGGTGGGGACTGAAATGAAAATTGTGCTAGGGGTGAATAAGTAGGTACACTCCCAAGTTTTAATCCAATGCTTTGGTCAACCAAGTTATTGCAAGTTCGCAGAATATTAGTGTAATGATTTTCAACAAAATCTCATTCTTCAAGGCTAATTGCTTGATAGATGTCGATGAGAAGTTTATAAAAAATAGATGTTTAAATTTAAAATTATTTAGTTTGTTTGGTTTTGGTTTTTTTAGAAAATGATTTGGAGAAAATTTTATTTTTTTATTTTTAAGCAATTTTTTTAAAAAATTTTTTTAGACACATCTAACATAAATACACTTAAAAAATATAGCCTGCGTTTGGTTGTGTTTTGTAAATGTGATTTGAGAGTATGAGTTGTATTTTGAGTTTGTGAGTTGTAGAATTATGATTTGAGTGTAGAAAATTTGTTTGGTTATGGTTTTTAAATAGAGTGTTGAATTGTGTTTTGAAGATGTATTTTGAATTAAGTTTTGAAAGTTTGATGTGACATGTGAAAGGTGAAAATTTGTTTGGTGATGTGTTTTGAAAATAATTTTTAAAACTTAATTCAACTAATAATTTATCATCAAACACACAACTCATATATCGATATCTATATTTTTTATCAACAATAATAACCAAACTATTTTTAAAATACTGAAATTAAAAATTGATTTTTTTTGTCAATTTTTTTTTTAGTAACTTTTTTGAATAATTGTTGTTTCGAAATAATTTTTTCATTTTAAAATAAACCGATGTCAATTTTTTTTTGCCAATTAATTTTTCTATCGATATCCATATTTTTTATCAACAATAATAACCAAACTATTTTTAAAATACTGACATTAAAAATACCATTTTTTTGTCAATTAATTTTTTTTCAAATCTTTTTTTTGAATAATTTTTTTTTCAAATAATTTTGTCATTTTAAAATAAACCTATGTCAATTATTTTGTGTCAATTAATTTTTCTATCAATTTATTTTTTATGCTTGTACAAACATGTTTGTAAAATACGTTTTTAATTTTTTTCTAAAATAATTGATAGAAAATCTGAATAAAATCTCACATTTTCTGAACCTTTTGAACCTCACCTTTCTATAAAATAATTGATGCCAGTTCATCTTCAGAGAGGAGGACAACCGGCCGGTCATCTCCAAGGTCTACCGCCCGGTCATCCCCAAGGTTTGATACACAGATGAGGTTCACGTGAAACAGAGACGATGGAGGAGAAGGACATGGAAGGTTTTCAGAAACGTTGAAAGTGGAGATACAAGCTGTCAAACGGATTTTCAAAATCTAATTTGAATTAACACGCTGAATCAACTTTTGAACATCCTATCCAAACGTGAAGCGGGAGTTCACGTGTAGAATCACGTTTTGAATTCACAACCAAACACAACCATAATATTTGTGAAAATTTTAAAAAAAAAAAAATCACTAAATACTAAAAATACAAAAAACAAAAAACAAAAAACAAAAAATCAGTATATTTTTAATATTTGTGTATTTATTAATTTTTTAAAATATTTTTTTACAAATATTTTATTATTTAGATACATCCAAGTAAAGTATATTTAAAAAAATAAAAAATTATTTAAAATTTTAAAAATATTAATAAAAAAAATACACGAAAAATAAAAACTTAATTTTCAATAAATTGAATTCAGAAAATTAAAACTAAAATTTGTATTTTAAAGGCTTGAAATTGTTTATAAATAAAAATCAGTTAACATACTTCAACCATGCGAAACAGTGAACAATTTTTTGGTAGAAGAATATTTATCATATTGTGAGAGGTAGGGGTGAGCGCGGGTCGGTTGCGGCTACAAAACTTCTAATCCACCATCTGTTCGTCAGATTGGTGGATTGGAGAAAATCAATTTGCATCCGTCCGCTAATTCAGCGGATGTGGATTGAGCGGATTGGCGGCTTGGCGGATGGATGCGAATCGGTTTGGCAGTTTAAAATTTTATAAATTTTCAACATAATTCAACTTGTGCACTTCCTCAAAAAAAAGAGAAAGTATTATAGTCAATGGCTTAAAAAAATATTACAATCATTGCATGCCTCATCCAAAGTAAGAAAGTTTGAAACTTTAGAATATCACAATCACTGCACAGCTCATCCACATACTATAATCGCAGCATGCATCATCCACATAAAGTATTACAATCTGTGGTTCTTAACATATAAAAACAATTCAAACCACCAAAACCATGAACAGAGCAATAGTAGAGATTATATGTCTCTGTATTGTTACATCTATATCTGTTTTTGAAAACAAAAACCAACCAGCATATATCATATTTTTTATTTATTATTTTTAGAGATAGATTTAAAAATAAAAAAAATATAGATAAATAATGCGTTTATTTTTTTCAATTCAAAAAATATATTTAAGTTGAAATTTTTTTTCAACAGAATATTTAAAATCTTTTTTAATTGAAAACACAAACAGAATATTTAAATAAACTAAAAACACAAAGTCTTATAAATTGCTAAGGGTGCTCGTGGTTTGGCGGTTCGGTTGTGGCCAAAGGAATCTCAAATCTGTCATCTGTCCGCCAGATTAGCGGATTGGAGAAAATCAATCCGCAACCGTTCGCTTGTCATCACGCATCCGTCTAAAATGCGACAAATCGGTTCGGTTCGGTTCGGTCGTTGTTGGTGGATCAATATATCCACTACTCACTCCTAGTAAGAGGACTTTATTTCGTATTTTCTTATTCCAATAAAATTTTACAAGGCCTTTTACCAAATCTCCCTTTCAAAAATGTAATTGCTGTGGCCTTTAAAAGAAAAAGAAAAAAAAAAATTTTAGTTTGCATTGACATTTCTTCTATTTTACTTTTTATGTCCTATATTTTTCAAGAAAAGGACAAAATTTCTATATGTCCTATATTGGCATTTGCATAATTTCTTCTATTATAATTTTAATGTCCAAATCTCCCTTTCAAAAATGTAATTGCTGTGGCCTTTATGAAGAAAAATATTAAAATGTATACTACTAATGACATAACAAGTAACGTATCAAATTTTAATAAAAAAATACAAATATATATATATATATATATAAGGATTTAACAAAACAAACTTTGAATTTTATTAATTTAAATCTTTTTTTTTTAAAAAAAAATTTAATCTAAACCTTCACCATATTTTTGTTAGATAAAATTGACAAAAAAATAATAGTTTAGTCATTAAACTAAGGCCAAGTTTGACATCCTTAAAATAATCAATCTTTTTATCTTTTTTCCATTACATCACCTCTCTATTTTTCTGCACATCTTTTTGTAAAAAGATAAAAAGTACACTTATTTAACCCATTCCAAACAACCCCTAAATGTAGATATAAATAAAAATGTTTAAAATATTTTTTGAAAAGTGTTATGGACTCTAAATAATTTATCAAATTTTTTATAAAAACTTTTTACATGGGTGTGGGACCCACACAAATCTACATAAGTGTGGATCTCACACTCATGTGAAAGGTTTGATAAAAAATTTAGTCAACTATTTGGTATCCTTGGCGCAACTAATATTTTTTTAATTGAGTTTAATAATTAAAAAATATATATATATTTATATTTTTTCAATTTTATTTTATAAAAATAAATAGATAGTTTAAATTGAAAATAATTCAAAAGTTTAAAATTTAAATTTTAAAATAAAAAATTAAAATTTGATTTTATTATATTAATTAAATTTTGATTTTTTTTTTATTATTTATCCAATTTTAATTTATCATAAACTCACAACAAATCAGTGCAACAAGTTTAGAGTGAGAAAAGTTTTTGCCCACGAGAAACGTGTATTTGAAAGAAATAGATCGGCCCAAGAGAGGGTCATACGAATTCATAAACGGTGGTATATATTAATTATTGTATTAATTAATATATTAGTATTAATTATAATATTATTATTTGTCACATTATAAATATTAAAAAAATTTAAAATTATATTACATCATTAATTAATATATTATTCATTTATATATAACTAATTGATATATACAGACTTATTCATTTATAGACTAATAAAAAAACCTAAAAAAAAAAAAACAACAATGATTCATCTCCTTTTTCCTCCCACCCTCTTTGACCCCCTCTCTCTCTTATTAGTTACATTTCCTTTTTCTTTTTCTTTTTTTTCCTACTCCTCCAACCATCACCCGTCACGTGGCAAAAGGGGTGAGGGGTGACCCCAAAAGGGGTCCCAAGCATTATTCAAATAATTATTCAACACAAATTAGGGCAATTTTTCCCTTTTCTCAAATATCAACCCCAAGGCCAAATTCACCATTTTAACCCAAGGTAGCCTCATACTCAAAACCCCATTTTCATTAAAAAAAAAAAAAAAACTCTGGCCGCCCGGTTGTGTTGTCTTAACAAAGCCCGAAGCCCAAACCACAAAACCCTGCAATCTCTCTCTCTCTCTCTCTCTCTCTCTCTCATCATCATCAGTCGTCTTCTTCTCTTCCACTGTGAGTGGGTTGGATTGGAGGTTTAGAGAACACAACAGAGAGAGAGAGACCACTGTTGGGTTGGATTGGAGGTTTAGAGAACACAACAGAGTGGGTTGGATTGGAGGTTTAGAGGGTTGGATTGGAGGTTTAGAGAGAGAGAGAGAGAGAGAGAGATTTTCCATGGCGGCGGGTATTCTGGTGAGTTCGAAAACGGAGCTGAAAAGGAGAGAGAAGCTGAAGAAGAAGGCGAAATCAGGAGGCTTCGAGTCGATGAATCTGAGCCCTAATGTTTTCAGAGGCGTCAAGCGTAAGGGCTACAGGCTCCCCACTCCTATTCAGCGTAAGACCATGCCTATTATCCTCGCCGGCGCCGACGTCGTCGCCATGGCCCGCACCGGCTCCGGCAAGACTGCCGCTTTCCTCATCCCCATGCTTGAGAAGCTCAAGCAGCACGTTCCTCAGGGCGGCGTTAGGGCTCTCATTTTGTCCCCCACCAGAGACTTGGCTCTTCAGACCTTGAAATTCACCAAAGAACTCGGTCGCTTCACTGGTAACTGCGTTGCCTACTTATCTCTATATATACATATGTCATTGTTCATTTATGTAGCTTTGCTTTTGTGTGGACTAGTTGAATTTACATTATTGTGTTTTGTTGTTGCTAAGGAATATTATTATCTTCAATGATGTGTTATTGTATAATTTTGTTTTGGGTCGAGGGATTTAAAATTCAAGCAAGTCATTTGAATGATATGTGTAGTGTTGTTTTCGGTTAGAGAAAATGAATTTGGAATAATTCTGGTCACCGTCCATCAGATTTTTCTGATTTACAGCCAAGGACATCGAAGAGTTACTTTCATTGATTTCAATCATGTTGAGTCCTTAACACAATATTTGTATGAATGAATTTGTTTTCTGTCTTCTATTCAGATCTTCGTATTAGTTTACTAGTTGGTGGTGATAGTATGGAAAGCCAGTTTGAAGAATTGGCACAGAATCCCGACATCATAATTGCAACCCCTGGTAGGCTCATGCACCATTTGTCTGAGGTTGACGATATGTCATTGCGTACCGTGGAGTATGTCGTTTTTGATGAAGCTGATTGTCTCTTCAGTATGGGCTTTGCTGAACAGTTGCATCAAATCCTTACCCAACTTACTGAGAACCGGCAGACCTTGCTTTTCAGTGCAACCTTACCTAGTGCCCTTGCTGAGTTTGCTAAGGCTGGGTTGCGGGAGCCTCATCTTGTGCGACTTGATTTGGAGTCTAGGATTAGCCCTGACTTGAAGCTTAACTTTTTCACCCTACGGCATGAAGAAAAAAATGCTGCATTGTTGTATCTGGTAAGAGAACAAATCAGTTTTGATCAGCAGTCATTGATTTTTGTTTCTACAAAACATCACGTAGAGTTTCTTAATAATCTGTTCAGAGAAGAGGGTATTGAGGCTTCTGTATGTTACGGTGATATGGATCAAGATGCTCGCAAAATTCATGTGTCAAAATTTAGGGCTAGAAAGACCATGTTGCTGATTGTGACTGATATTGCTGCTAGGGGTATTGACATCCCGTTGCTTGATAATGTTATTAACTGGGATTTCCCCCCCAAACCTAAACTTTTCGTGCATCGAGTAGGGCGAGCTGCAAGAGCAGGTCGGACTGGCACTGCATTTTCTTTTCTCACAGCTGAAGATATGCCTTATCTTTTAGATCTTCATCTCTTTCTCTCAAAACCAATCAGAGCTGCTCCCACAGAAGAGGAGGTTTTACAAGATATGGATGGAGTAATGTCCAAAATTGATCAAGCAATTGCAAATGGAGACACTGTTTATGGGCGTTTTCCTCAAACAGTTATAGATCTTGTTTCTGATAGAGTTCGAGAAATTATTGATTCCTCTGCAGAACTGACTTCGTTGCTGAAAGCCAGTACAAATGCATTCCGGTTATATTCTAAGACTAAACCATTACCTGCAAGGGAGTCCATTAGAAGAGCAAAGGATTTACCTCGTGAAGGGTTGCATCCAATTTTCAAAAATGTGCTAGGTGGCAATGAGTTAACAGCACTGGCCTTTTCAGAACGCTTGAAAACCTTCAGGTGACTTCTAAGTAGTTTTTAAAGGCTTTTGAAAGTATTTTTTCCCCTTTGTTTTCATCTTCTTCATGAAATGTTAGTGCTGCAAGTATTAACCGTTCAATGGATGATCTATCATAGACCCAAGCAGACTATTTTAGAAGCTGAAGGTGAAGCTGCTAAATCAAAGCGTGTACAAGTAATTTCTTGCTCTTGCATCTTTTTGATAATAAATGTCGTATAATTCATCACTTTATGTACTCAATCTACTTCAGATCTAATCTTCTGTAATTTTCTTTTTCATATAGTTGTATGTGCCTAATTTTGTTTGTTTTTCTACTATGTGCTATATTGCAATTTCAAATGAGATTATCCTTCTGTGGATGATCAAAATATCTCTATGATAACTGTTATTTTCATGTATTTTAAAACTTTCTCCATAAAGATGGAGTTTATTTTGTGACATTGGAACATGCTCTCGCCTAAATCAATCCCTTTCATCCATTGATTTGAACATATTTTAATCTTTAGATCAAACTTGATACAGATACAAAAAGTATTTGTGTTAAAAAAAATTTACAACACTACATCTTTTAAAAAAAACAAAATTCATCACTTGCCTCAATTTTTTTTTTTGGCTTGGATTCTTCTAAATATTTGAAACTTAATGGCTCTTCAGTCATTTTGTATGTATAGTTTTCCTCTCTAATCAAGTTCTATATGTTTTCTATGAAGATAAGCCATAACAAAAAGTTGAAGATACAGTAATATGAATCATAGTAGAAATTTGTTGAAAATAAAAAGGCTGGCAGATAAGTTCATTGTACTTCTAAGATATCAACAATCTTCATTTCTACTGTTTTCTTATGTGATTTCTATTAGAATTCTCTGCTTGACTGTTAAGCAAGGAAAGATTCAAAAGAAACTTAGAAAAGCCAAGTTGAACGAGACTTTATAGTTGACAATTGTATTCATTTTGTACTAGGAAACATCAAGGAACTGGTTGTAAAGACTCCTAGAATAAATTTTTTTTTCTTTAAAGAGACCTTTTTCTACTTCAAAAAAGAAAAAGAAAAAAGAGAGACCTTTTCCTCAAAAGGTCAGAAACTTAATTTCTTGTGGCCATTACTGATTATTCACTACTGGACAATCCTTCCTTAACAAGAGCTTGATAAATCTATTGCTTGACTAATGTTTGAAGCTATGTTGGTTGGAATGTGGATCGTTTTGAAATGAGAACTGGAACGTGGTACGCCAAATGTTTTAAAATGTGGTAGACATGTATAGATCACACTATAAGAATTTGAGGTACTTCAAAATGTGAACAATTTTCTTGTAATAGTTATACATCCAATAAAATATAATTTAATATTCTTGAAATTAATCATGTAAAAATTCAATTCTAGGAAATTAATAGCCAATCTTTATTTTTTAATTTATTTTGTTCTGCCAAAGCTCCACTCTCTATAGCTTTAATTCATTATATTTGATTTCCCCTCCTAAATTCACCAATTTGAAACGAAAGTGTACCATGTTTGGGAGTGTGTTCCAAAACATAAATCACTATGTTATTAAAGTTTCTTGGTGACCCTGGTTTGAAGTTAACAAATTCTTGATGCCCCTCCAAAATATTCAGAATCACATATTTTTAATCTCAAGTCAGAGTCTCCACTTCTTCAGCTTGCAGATTGTCTTGTACTTGTGAAGGCATGTGTTTCTGTATTGAGCTGCATTTTCTTTCCCTTTCACCTCCGGAGGTACATTTTCACTAGCTGTTTATGCCCTAAAAACTCCATTTGTCTGTGACATTGTTGTCTCCAATACCAAACCCTCTTTTAAAGGTGATTTTTTTCATGATAATAAGGGAGCTTGTCACTTTTTGTCGTTCGCATATGCTAATTTATGTGGTTGTAATATTGTGAACTTTTTCAACTTTCCAGCATTATAATTTTCAGCAATTTTCATGTATAACTTTTGCAGATGTTTGCCATGATGAACATATTTTATCCGTTTGATTTTAAGTAATATTCAGAGAAATGCCACTGTTTACATTTAATTGTGAGGGGAATATTTTGTTAATTTCTTATCTTATTCAGTTGAGTATATCTTGACATAAAGGCTTAATTTTAGGGCCCTTCTGGACAATGGGTTGATGTGATGAAGAAGAAAAGAGCTATTCACGAGGAGGTCATTAATATGGTACATCAGAAACGCTCTAATGATCATTTGACAAAGGTAAACCTCTAAATAAAGTATGCCATATTTATGTTGTTCTTTGGATTTGCAACCGTATTATCAAATCCATTAAAAAAATGCCATTTTAATTGGCTCATTTAGCCTGAATTGCTAGTATCCACACCTGACCCAAACGATTAGATGAACCTTAATATTTGGGCTCTAGATGGTGGAGTGAATCCGAACCACCTCAAATTTTTGGATAAGGAGAGAATTCCTCATTTTTGTGGGCCTTGACCCGTGTGAACATTTTTATGCGGTTAATAGAAGTGGAATTATTGGTTACATGTATGCTTTACATAGTTATTTGACTGATCCCCAGATAATTCTTCTCTGTAGTGAGCTTGATAAACCCCTTGACACTTGTTGCAGGAAGAGATACCTGAAATCACTTCTTCAAAGGACACAAAGAAAAAAGGTTTGTCCTTGTCTAGTCTTTAATTTTCTTCTCTAATTCATTTTGATCTCTCTCTCTCTCTCTTTCTCTCTCTCTCTCTCTATATATATATATGTCATGGTATGTCTTGTAATGTTCTACTTGTGGTATTTTTATAGTGTTTGGACAGTGTAAACCAATTAGGAAGGATGATTTGCATTGTGAGAACTTTAAGATAAATCAAAATTTGTTCATGGAACAAGAGCCTGATGGAAAGCATCAGCAGCAGCAGAAGAGAGAACCTTTAAGCACGAGTTAATGCCTCTTAGAGGATTATGGCTATCATCATGAATATTAGTGTTCCAATTTGAATGGAAAGTATAAGTGGTGATCTTGTTTGCTGGCTTCCTTTAAAGAACACCATATCTATGGTTCCATCCGTAGCCACAATGATATGATTCTTCTTTTTCCCAGAAATTGGAATTAGGTGAAAATGGACCACTTCCTTGAAGTTAAGAAGAAGAAATAATAACCCTGCTGGAAAGTGTCTGAAGTTAAGAGTCATCCCGTTAACACCTAGGAGTTGTGCTTTCAAATCATAGTGAGGACCCTCCTTAGGTAGGTGATCAACACTTATATTATGCACTGCAGACAGGAAGAGGTTTCTGTCAAGTATGTAATTACCCACCTGATATATTGGTTTTCTTTTTAAATTTTGAACCATGTTAAAGTTTTTGGAGGTTGGAAGGTCTAAGTAAACAAGAAAATATGGCATTTCAGCTCAAAGAGCTTTTTCTATTTCTACAGTTGATCTTTAGCAACACTCTGAATTTGAATATATAAGCAGAAGGAATATTATACTGGTTTCTGGATGGATTTTTCCAGACAGGAGCAATAAATGGAAGTAGGAAGAGAAGAAAATTTACAAATAGAAGATTACTGCTGAGTTAAAAACAAAACAATTACTAAATTTCATCTGTTAAGCATGCCATATTCAATATCAATTCATGCTGATCTTATTCAAGTAAAATGGGTCTTGTGTCCAAACAGAACTCAAATTTTTTAAAAATGATTAGTTTCTAAGTAAATCTAGTTGTTAAACAGCCCAGTGAAACATTCCTAGTTGAGATCCAATTGCGAATTCAATACAATAGACTTCCAGTAATGGAAATTATGAGGAATGAAACTTTCTATAATTAGATATATCCCGCTGACAATAGAATGGGCATCACTTGCAATAGCCATGAACCAACAAACAAGGAAACCTAAATGTTTGTTTTCATTTTTATTTTGAATGTTACTTTGTGACACAACAGATCATAATTATGCAGATATTAGTTTTGTGATTGTTGCTAACATTCCTTCTATTCTTGCAGTTTCTGGTTCCAAAAGGAAGGCAAAGACCTTCAAGGATGATGAATACTTTATAAGTGCGGTACCTACAAATCAAGTAGGTCATCCTATTCTGTCTAATGTTAATAATGATTCCAATGGTATTTTGTAATGTTTCTCATAATGATTTAACTTGCTATTTGGTTCAATCAGTCAGTCCTTTTTTGGGTGGTATTCAGTTCTTAACGTCTTGTGTGCACTGTGTGTCAAAAGAACATAGCTATGGCTATTTAACATATGCTATGTTATCGAATGCAGCATTTGGAGGCAGGACTCATGGTAAGAGCTAACGAAGGCTTTGAATCAAACAGGTAAAGATTAATTTATGATGAAGCATATTAGTCTTTTCTGAAAACCCCCATCCTTACACTTCTCGTCTTCATTAGCCTTCTGTGAGTGTCCTCCAAAAGTTGCATACCTTCTTTCTTAAAGCCCCCAAATGATATACCCCTAAAACATTGCAAATTCCACATATATTTTGCTTCATCCAAGTGATCCAATCTTCATCTTTAGAAACCGAAACCTCTTCACACCCATCCTTTGTAGAACCTTCAACTAGCAGTAGAACAACTAATGGAGGACAACCAGGCAACTCTAAGTCTAACCCTTCATCCTCAATGATGCTTGATGCCCCTTCGACTTCCTTATCCTCAGTATCTGACCCTTCTGACCAAAAATCATCATCAAACAACAATTCCTCACATAACTCATCATCACTTGGCTGGACAAATAATTCCTTAATTGGGTGATTCCATCTTCATGTGATAAGTTGTTTACTATTGATTTTAATGGTTTTGTTTCAAATAAGAAGTTAAGGGACCCTTGGAGCTGTCCAATTTGTGTGATATTGTGGGTTTTATGGTTAGAGAGAAATGCAAGAGTTTTTGAAGACAATTCAAAAGATATTTGGTAGTTTATGTGATAAAATATGTTATTTGGCTTCTTTTTGGGTGTGTGTCAGTTTCAGCACCATTTAAAGAGTTCCTTTGTTTTCTATTAGTAGTAATTGGAGGGCTGTGTGCCACATGTATCTTCATTTTTTATTTTTATTTTTCCTTCTTTCTTTTCATTTTTGTCTTTGGAGAATCCCTTACCTTGTTTTTTGCTTTGAGCATTCTATCTGTTTTCTTTGTAATTAATATGTCCTTTTTGTTGCTGAATGATAAAAAAAGAAATGTTTATTAATCTGTAGTATGTGTTTTTTCTTGTTCTTGACGTTTTAATAGTTGACGCATCTCTATGTCATGATTAATTAATTGAATAGGTTGGAAGCTGCTGTGCTGGATCTGGTTGCAGATGATAGTGGTGGCATGCAGAAACAAAAATCTAGATTCCACTGGGATAAGGTATATCTTGTGGATGTTTATTTTTTGTTTTTCTCTCAAACTATATCTTTTTAAACCGTGTGAATCTGTTTGCTGGCAGAGGAGTAAGAAGTACATCAAGTTAAACAATGGGGACCGTGTGACAGCTAGTGGAAAGGTATTTTATCAAATATCTTTGCAGTTTTACAAATATATTAAGCTTTTTTTATTGGTATAATTGGCATATAGAAGAAATAGGTGTAGGCGAGATGCTTTGCTTCTTGAAATTAGGTGTAAAGTGGTTTTCTTGTTGAACATATTTATTTGCAGTCCACTGAGTGTTAAAGATGTTCTATTTTTCGCTAAGAGTGTTGAATTGTTAAAGATTTGTGGAGTTTGCAGCTTCAAACTTCTTCCTATGATGGGATAATGTGGAGTTTTCTATTGGGGTTCACTATTGGCAGGTTCTATTTGACATTGCCGAGTCCTTAGTGACTGTGAAATTGAATTTGAACCTTAGGAAAAGAGTAGCTGTTCAAAAATTAGTCTTGATGTATCTACTTCATTGCTTGTGGATAACTCTTCATCTTCTTTTTCATTCTTTATAATTTTGAATTCTATTGAAAATATTGGAATCATGCTTAACACTGGAAAGAATTGTTATTTGTGTTATTATAAAGTTAGTATTTTGAATTGTACCCCAGACACATGATGTATTTTTTTCAGTGATATGCTGTCCATTCTCTAATATATCTTTATGACAAGAAACTGGTCTTATGAGATGATTCTCAAGTATATGAAATTACTTTTATTTGTTTGATGTGTGATACGTTGCTTTATGTTGCTTTAGTTGTGAATAGCATATTGGATGCACCTTAATAAGTGGTTTGATTTTATAGGGTGGAAAAGTGGTTTTGTTCTATCCATGGCTAGAACTAATTTTGCTTATTTGTTTTGGCGCGAAGGTTATTTGGGATTATTTACTCTTTTTGTCTTTCAATGGTGAGCAGATAAAGACAGAGGGTGGTGCAAAAGTAACAGCTAACAAAACTGGCATATACAAGAGGTGGAAAGAGCAGTCACACAATAAAATATCCCTTAAAGGATCCAGTTATGAGGGCAATGCTGAAGAATCCAAAAGTTTTTCAGGTGAGTGCTTTGAAATCAGAAACAATTTGTATTCATTCGGGCTCTTGTTCTTTTGAATTTTATTGACTGCTATTCTGTTGTTTTATAGTGTTGGCATTCAAATGCTATCAATTCTTTTCCTTTCTAGTCTGTTGTTATAAATGTAGTTTCTTTTCTTTTTGCATATTTTTTTTTATGTTGGTAACAATAGGATTTAAAATTTTTGATTTACTTCCTGATGGAAATTTCAATTGCGTGGACATTTAGTGCATATCGGAAGGGTTAGATACCCTTAGGTAGTAATTATGTGAGTTCTAGGTAGTAACTTTGAGTGCTCACTTTTGACATGATGTTTAAAGTATTTTCGGATTAATTTTTAGCAGATGAGTTTTTATCATTGCTTCCCTGTTTCCATTTGGGGACATTTATTCTATTGTTTATTGGCAAGTGTTTTCTGCCAAAGGTGTCTCTATGTTTGTTGTCTGGTTAGTCACTTCCCTGTGACCAAGTCAACCGATGTAGCCCTCTAAATTGTTCTCTTGTAAAACTAGAGCTGCAAACGAGCTGAGTTGAGCCGAGTTTTAGTATGTTTGGGCTTATTTATTAAGATTTTAACGGGTTCAAGCTCGAGCTCAATAAAAATTTAATGAACCGAGTTCGAGCCGATATGGTTTAGACTTGACTTGAGCTCTCTGTTCATGATTCTTAACGAGCCAAAAAAAATTTAAATTCATAGTTGGTATGAAAATAAAGTTACAATTGAAATTTTGATTATACAATTATATATACAATATATATAAACATATTAAAAAAACCAATATTTTACTAAAATAATAATATCTACCACTACTATCATATAAATGTATTATCTACGGTTAGCTATCATTTACATTTACATTTACATTTTTTAAATATATAAATAACATAATTATTTTATTTTTATATATATTTTTACATTATTTAATGTATAACTAATAGATGTTAAGCGAGTTACTTAACGAGCCGAGCTTATGGGCCGAGCTTTAGTATGTTTGGGTTGGGCTTGTTTATTAAAATTTTAACCTTAGTTGTAAATCTTGGTTTCTAAGGAGGTTTGGAATTCGAGTTTATGGAGAAGTGTAGAATGTCAAATTGTAATAATCTAACTCATTAATTCGTTAATATTCTATCTTTTGAAAAAATTAAATAAACAAAAAGGTTTTATTTTTGGATTTTTTTCTTAAATTGGGAAGAAAAAAAAAATTAAAAATCTAAAATGTTTTACCAAACAAAAATTGAACGAACCAAATTCGAACGAGTTCTTACTGAGCCAAACTCGAGCTTGTGGCTCTATTCATTTGCAGCCCTATGTAAAACTGACTTTTGGAGTGATCTCTGGTTTATCTAAGAGTTTATTTAGAAAATGGAGTTTGTCTAGGATTAGTTTGGTTTGCCTATATAACTAGGTCTTTTATGTGATGGATTTGGTTGACTTGATATGTATATTGATTATTGAATAAGTGAGATTGATATTTTGATTTGGGATTGTGATCTTCTGTCCTTCATTCTTCTTCTTCTTCCCACTGTAAGTGTTCTCCACACTTTGGTTTTGAGTGATTAGGCAACAGTGAGCTGCCCAAGTAGAGGCAATCAAAGTTTCACGAGCCTAAAAATCAACTTTGGTAGTTGTCGCTTGGATTTGGCCATTTTAGAATTGGTCATTCATTCATGTTGACCTAGGATATGCTAACTTCTTTTTTATTTTTGATTTTCAATATATCATACCATATATTGAAATCAAAACATGAGATGAAATGTTTACATAGCAAGTAGTATTGAATGTCGGAATTTGAGATGTTACATTATTGTAGCTTGAGCTGTGTATTCTGTCACTTGTTTTGTTCCTTATACTCCAGGCATTGTGCTCTGCCTTCTCCATCTTTATAATATTATTCTGTTATCATTAACAATTATTAAAAAATGCATAATAATAATGCTTTAGTTGCACATTAAGACGCTGGACCTCTGATTTATCGATAAATATGTTTGTCTGGCAGGTGGTAATGGCATACGAGGAGACAACAGAAGGTTCAAAGGTGGGAAGAAGCATTGGTCAATGCCCAATGCTCACGTGCGTTCAGAAATTAAAGATGTTGAACAAGTTCGCAAGGAAAGGCAGAAAAAGGCAACCAGAAATTCTTATATGAAGAGCAAATCTAAGGGGAAAAAGTTTGGTAAAAATGGTAAAAAGGGAGGGGGTGGAAGACAAAGTAGTAGAGATAGGCAAGGCCGGTCCCACTAGCTTCTCAAGTTTGTTGTGTCAACATAGGACGGTTCTCAAAGAACAACCCAGAAGAGGGAGACTCGGCGCAAGTTTTGGTCTACAAGAGAATCAAGAGCTGTTCGCATTGTTGGAGTTTGCATACAACACAGAACAAGTTTTGATTTCGTGTTTGGAAGAAAGCAGAATAGGAGGGTGAGAAGTTGAATTTCCTTGATAGTGTTATATTCTTTGGTCTTTATTATTTCTCTATTGTATTTAAATTCTATGTGGTATTAGAGTGGGTCAACTGGACCTTAACCTAAGATTTCTTTGCAAGTTTTGTTTCATTGTTTTTTTCGCTGCTCATTCTAAATGTTAAGGCAATTATTTGTCAAATTTGGTGCCTCTGAAAGGGTTTTTTTACTTTATAAAAAAAAATTGTGGTGACGTTAGTTTCATTTTCATGTGGCTCCTGGAACTGTTAATGCCTTGTGAACATACAAATAATTGTCTCATCTTATAATCCCTCACCAATACTCAATCAAATGTCTTTATTACTGTGGCCATGAAACTTTACTAGTTAAGCTAAGTGGCACAATTCAAAACTATTCATGAAGATGTGCAACTTCAGTTACACGATTCAATATTGAAAATGTTATACATAACAGTTTAGCTTTACCCTATTTTCTTATGAACACTATTTTCTTATGGAATTTCAAAATAATTTCACATTCTTTGATTATGATCCAACTCTACGCCTACTTAATTGTAAACAATAACATAGAATAGAGAGTTTTTGTTTGTAGCTTCCTATTCCATATTGGTGCCAATTTTAACATAGAAAATTATAGAGTTGCAACTTTATTGAAACAAATAGTGCATGGATTCATTATACTGTACGACTGCTTAGAACTTTTCAGTTGTTCTTCTCTGTTTGGGGGGAAAAAAATGATAGGGACTTATATGCAAAGGGTAAATTACATAAATAGTCCCCAAAGTATACTACATATTTCATTTTGGTCTCTAATCTTTAATTTGTTTTAATTACATCTTGCACATCACACAATTAGACAACATTTTATGAAGATGAGTAGAAATCTAGCATCTGGGCGTCCATGGCGATCTGGAAACGAGTTTGAAGGGCAAGTAACTAAGCATGGGAATGGAGGATGGCAACCCGTAGTTCGCAGGCATGGTGGTAGAGGAGTTGGAATTTTTTAGGGAAATACCATTTACTCTGTGTTTGTGGACAACATACCCGTATCTATGGGGGCGAAAGGGCTGTCCAAAATCTTCTCAAATTTTGGAGTGGTGCTGGATGCGTATATCCCAAATAAGAGAAGAAGATCTACAAGATCCAAATTTGGCTTCATTAGGTACGATTGTCCAGTAGCAGATGACGTAGCTCTACAGAAAGCAATTGGCCTTTGGTGTGATGACAAGGCGCTAAAGGTCAAAATAACCGAGTTCAGAAAGGATGGGGGTACAAAACAAAGCAAGCCACATCTAGTACAACAGAGGTGGGATTAGGAAGGCAATCACACTGTACATGACCACTATTAGAGGAGAAAGCCATACGCTAATGTGGTTCGAGATAGGGTGATTCAATCCAACTCAGTTCGCACTATTAAGGTACAGAAAGCTGGTAATGGATGGCTGTATGAAAGCGCAGTGATCAGACTAAATCCAACTACGTCGGTTGAAGTTTTTAAGGATGAATTATAGAGAAGAGGTCATGGAGACATCACAGTTCGAGTAGGTGGTGACAGACAATTAGTTCTCTCATTTCGATCAATGGAAGCTATGAAGGAAAAACTATTGATCATGAAGGACTGGCTCAAAGATTGGTGAGAATCGGTTGAAGAATGGAAAGATAGAATGGTCTTGGAACAGGTGAGGCAGGCATGGTTAAGTTGCTATGGTGTGCCACTGGTCTTGTGGAACAACAAAACATTCAGTAGCATAGGTAAAGAGTGGGGAGAGGTCACAGAACTGGATGCAGACATAGCTAACTTGACCTCTTTCCATTGTGGGAAGGTAAAGGTTGCGACAAGATGCATGGGAAACATTAATCACACAATTAACCTAGATTGTAAATGTGTAATTTATCCAGTTAGGATTTGTGAGGAACAAATCATAGTCACTCAAATAGTGAAAGAACACTATATATGCCAATCTTTTATGAGGAATCATGAAGACAGCTACAGAAGAAAATGAGATTATTGCAAATCAGGGCAGCAAACAAGAGGAAGAAGATGATGATGTGGCAATACAGATGGGTAATGAGGTGGTTAAAGGCTGTGATGTGGAAGCAGGGGATAGGGTGGATGCACAGGTTAATATGAATGGCATGGAAGAAGATACCAGCTTGAAGGAGATTTCGGTGGTGGAGGAGACAGAAATGATAGAGGGAGGGTCAGAGGTAGGCATCGCACGTGAAGTGGGCTTAGAAAGGAGGCTCAGTAAAGGGGCTTCAGAGAAGGATGGCGCACGCAAGGAGGGAAGCTGTAGAGTTGATGATGAGGTGGTCACATCTGGGTTTAGGGAAATTATTCAATACTCCCGGAGCACCACGTGTCCATACTCCAAAACAATCACCAATTAGTTAGCCCCATGTTGTCCACCCATCTCCAACATAAATCGTGGGCCCTTGTGTCTCTCCACCAATCAAAACATTATGGAGCACCACGTGTCCATACTCCGGGAGTACTGAATAATCACCCCTGGGTTTATCAGAATCATGAGTGGGTCTGTAGGGAAGCAACAAGGAATTAATCTGGAGGTGGATATAAATAGGGCCCATGTTGAGTCAAGTTGGGATGGATCGGCCCAAGGGGCTATAATACCAGATACTTGGGCTGATAATAACACTTAATCTATTACTGAATCTGTCTATGGAGTGGGGCAACCCAGCTCGGTGGATAAAAGGGTGCCCAGCTCTTCTTCAGTTCCTAAATCTACTTCTAGTGTGGAGCAGCCCAGCTCAGTGAATAATTTGTTGACCACAAACATTATTCGAAGGGAAAATTAGGAAGGAAACAGAAGCAGAAAATAGAAGACATAAAATTTCTAAGAAGGGGAAAAGAGTTGTGGGCAAGAAATTCGTGAAGTCATCTATGTATCTACGGAAATGGGGTTGTTTTCAGATCGGCAGTTGCTGCTATCTCTCTTTCCATGGCAAGTAAGTCTAGTAGAGGATGCTTAAGATTATCAGAGGCAGAAGCATCATTTCAAATTGGAAAAGTGTTGGCGGTAGCTTGTGATGGCAAAGAGGAAGAGATAATTAGTAAGTTGAAGGAATTGGAGGCCAATGATGAAAGGAAAGTGGTGAGAAGGGTAGGTGAAGCTAACTGAGCCCTAAGCTCTGGGTATTTGGGTACTAAATAGTCTTGTAATGAAGATACAATCTTGGAATGTTCGAGGACTTGGCAGACCTAAGAAAAAAAGGAAAATTAAAAGAATTCTGGCAAAAAGGAAAATTATTTGTGTTAATTCAAGAGACAAAGAGAGCAACAATAACTCCCAAAGTGGTAAAATCCATCTGGTATAACGATAGTTTTGAGTATACGGCAGTGGATGCGGAAGGCCGAGTAAGTAGGCTGCTATGCATTTGGAATCTAGGGGTGTTCCAATTAACCACTTACTGTGGTCATCGTGATTTTATCCTTTTGTCAGGTAATCTCTTCTACTCTTTTAATTATGTGATTGTTAATGTCTATGGTCCCTCGGATGTGGCTAGAAGGAATGAATTATGGAATACTTTTGCTCGGTTGAAGAATATATTCGTGGAGCCATGGTGTATGGGGGTGACTTTAACGAAATAAGGACCATTACTAAAATAATTGGGTGTTCTAGAAGTGACAGAGGAATAAGGGATTTCAATACAATGGTTGACCAATTAGATATGATTGACTTACCAATGCTTGGTAAGAAATTCACCTGGTGCAACTCACAAACTAGAGAGAAATTGAGCAGAATTGATAGATTTCTTCTTAATCATGAGTGGTTACAAAATTTCAACTTCAAGTTATGGGGACTCCCTAGGCTGTTATCTAACCAATGTCCTATAATATTGATGGAGGACGATAGAGATTGGGGACCTAGACCTTTTAGGTTTATCAATGCTTGGGCTCTTCATCCTAAGTTTATATTCGTAGTGGAGGAAACTTGGTCAGGACTTCAGGTGGAGGGTGGGGCTGGTTACCATTGTCTTAAGAATTTTTAAGCCTTGAAACAAAAATTAAAAGTGTGGAATATTGAAATATTTGGGCTCAGAGCTGCTGAAGAAAAAGCCCATACTATTGAACTAACTGCTGAAGAAAGAGTACTTCTGGAGAATGAACAAGCTAGAAGAAAGGAACTTATAGAGGAAATTTGGAGATTGAATAAAATGCTAGAATGGACATAGCTACAAAAGTCAAGAATGAACTGGTGTGACAACCCTCATCTCTGATTACTACTAAACTGTGACTGAATATGATAAGTAACTGATTATGAGGAAATCCTAAACTGATTGTATGAATGTATTGTCTGTAAATGCATTTCTATCTGTTTGACTACTAAATGATCTGTTCGTGTTTTAACTTCGAATTGCGAATTGAAGGCCTTATCGGCGGCCGAATCTGAAATTGATTGGTGTTTTATGTTAATTAGAATTTATGTGATATTATGGTAGATTTAATTTAAATTTGATTTGGTGTGATTAAATTAGATTAAATAAAGCTAAATCACATTAATTCAAGTTATTTACGAAATTGCCATTGAGTGGATTGACTCAAAAACCCACCCTTATTATGCCTTATACATTTTTGATGCATCATCCTCATTTCCTCTAGAGACCAAAAACGTGAGAGAGAGCTAGAGAGTTGGAAAAAATTGAGTTCACCTAAATTGGCTTGGAAAATTAGAAGACTTGAAGAGCATTTGCAAAATTGAGCTTCTATACCTTGAATTCAAGACCTAAGGTAGAGATTTCATCCTCTCATTTGAACATTTGAGTTGTATATTGCATGGTTCATGGTAATTTAGAGTTTAAAGTCAAGGATTAATTTGAAGAGTCGAATTATGAGCTAATTCATGCATGCATGTTCATATTCTTGCATTTTGAGGTTGTTTTGCATGAATTCCTTCCATGCATGTGTATATTTTGAATATAGTCCATGAATTCACCACGTTCTTGAGCTTAATCTTGCATTTGGTCAAGTTTTAGAGCACTTAATTCATAAGAGTTCTTGCATGTTATGTTTTTACATAGATCATGGGAGTTTCTTTGAAATTGTGTTCAATTGACTTACCTTTGGGCTTGATTTTGCAAAATTGATCTTTGAAACATGTTGTTTTATGGGTTACCAAATGTTTTCCAAAGTTTTGGCCCAGAAAAATGAGTTTTGAATGGTTGAATGTTGAATTTCATGTTTGGAGGTTAATCTGGATTTTTCAGAAATTTGACCCACGCTCA